CTTTGAAAGTGCTATACAGTTGTTCCCCTAAACAACAGGACTGTTCCCAGAAAAAGATAGAGGTCCTCTATTAAGGATCTATTAGCTATTGTCATCTATTGCCACTAACAAATTATCCAAAATTCAGTGGCTTAAAATAACAAATGTTTACTATCAAAGAGTTTCTGTGGATCAGGAAACCAGGTGTGGTTTAGTTTGGTGTCTGACTCAAGGTCTCTCACAAGCCTGCAATCAAGGTTTTGGCCAGAGTACAGTCATTTTTTAAGGTTCAGTTGTGGGGAGGATCTGCTTCTAAACTCATTCATGTGGCTATGGCCTTGGATCCTTGACAGCTTGGTCAGTGTATCAGCTTGGGTTTGCTCTCGTTTGGATCTTAAGTTTCCTCCAAAGGCCTATGTAGAAAAGACTTATTCTCCAGCTTGGTGGGATTGGGAGGTAGTAGAACCTTAATGGGGCCTAGAGGGAGGTATTCCGATCATCAGAGGGTGGGAATGTGCTCTGGAAGGGAATTGTGCAATTCCAGCCCCTTTCTCTCTTTCACTTCCCAACCATGAGGTGAATGGTTTTGGTTTACCATGTGCTCCTGCCAAAGGCCCAAAGCAACAGGGCTAATCAATCATGGACTGAAGGCTCTGAAGTCATGAGCCCAAATAAACCTTTTCTCTTTAGAAGTTGGTTATCTCAAGTTGTTATAGTCATGGGAAACTCACATAGGCTGCTGTACCAAAATACCATAGACTGAGTGGCTTAATCAACAAGCGTTTACTTCTTATAGTCCATGGAGGCTGGGAAGTCAGAGATCAAGCTCTCCTGGTGTGCAGACAGTTGCCTCTTCACTGTGTCCTTATATATAGAAAGAGGGAGAGAGCTCTGGTCTCTTTTTCTCTTCTTACAAGGACAATAATACCATCAAGAGACCCTGCACTCATGATCTCATCTAAACCTAATTATCTCCCAAAAGCTCCAGTTCTAAATATCATCACATTGGAGATTAGAATTTCAATTATGCATTTTTGTGTGTGTATGGGACAAATTTGATCAAGAATAATTAACTACATCAGCTCCCCAATATATAGTTTTTTTCATAGGGCATCACAATATGGTATCTGTTTTTCTCAGAGCAGGTAAGTGAAGGAGAGAGTGTACCCCAGACACAAGCCACAGCCTTTTTGTAACCTAATCTCTGAAGTAACATCATACTACTTTTGTCCTCTTCTCTTTGTTACTAGTGGGGCACACATTTAAGGGGAGAGGAGTACCCAGGGGTATGAGTACTGGGAGATAGAGATGATTGGAGTCCATTTTACAGGCTGTCTACTATCCGGGTTCTGAGCAGATAACACAATAAAAGACCACTCTGCTAAGCAGAGGCCATCTAAAAAGCAGTGATCATGATCCAAACTATACATATAAACCATACAAACAAGCGGGATCTGTAGATAAACTTCAAGATTATGATGATACCACAATGAGAATGTTAATATGAAATGTGCTAACAGGTGACAATGATGTGCACAGAAGGTTTTAAATTTGTTTTTATTGAATATGAATCCAACATGTAAAGACAGTATCTATAAAACATTTGTAAGCTATAAAGAAGAGTGATAAAATGAACATGACTGTACCACACAGTATAAGAGAAGGGATGACAAGGACTTTCAAGGCCTCCAAGGCCTTCCCATTCCTTCCCCCTGAAGAAGTCATCTTTACGCTGAATTTTGTGATCATTATTCACTTTACCTTCATCATTTTACCACAGATGTTTGTATTCCTACTCAAGATATTCTTTGATTTTCCCTGCCTTTGGCTTTATAGAAATGGAATCGTACTGTATGTATTTCTTTCAAAAGATTTTGTTTCTGAGATTTATCCATTTGATGCCTTTGCATTGGTGTTTTCAACTTGACCCAAACTTCACTAAGTTCTTCATATATTGCTCTAGTACAAGAGCAAACTCACATTTATCACTTGAGCCCCCAACTTTCTCTTCACTTTTCTTTTTTTTTTCCCTTTTTTTAGGGGTGGTACTGGGGGCTGAACCCAGCGGTGTTCTGCCATCCCCAGTTTTTTTTTTTTTTTTAAATTTTGAGATAGAGTCTTGCTAAGTTTTAGGACCTCTCTAAGTTGCTGAGGCTGGCTTTGAGCTTGTAATCCTCCTGCCTCTCTCAGCCTCTTGAGTTGCTGGGATTGCAGTGCACATGAGCACCCAGTTCTGTTCACTTCTTTATACAAAACTGTTTGACTTTACTACAACTCATCTATATATGTCTTGATGGACATTTGTGTTAGTTTCATCTTTTTGCTACATAAATAGTGCTAGTATCAACATCACAGTGCTTGTTCCTGGCACCCTTGTGTAAAAATTTTCTCAGAGAATACACCTGGAAAAGGAATTTTTGGATCAAATACATATAAGCTTTATGAAATAATGTCAAATTGTTTCCAAAGTGGTTGTCGTGATTTCATTCTTATCAACTGTGAGTAAACATTCCAGTTGTCCCAAATCCTATCCAATATTTGATACTTTTATTTTTGCCAGTCTGGAAGTCATCATATGGAATTTCACTGACATTTCAATTTATATTTCACACATGAATTGTAATATATTTTACTGCATTGGTAAGTGCTATCCAGTGATCAAATGAGACTCTGAACTCTATACTTGAGTTTTGGCCAATTTACAGGTTGTTGTTACCTTAACTGAACATCAACCCTGTGCAAATTCTTTGGTGAAATGCAAAGAATCAAGACTTGTATTTAGTATGATGTCTATGTTACAGAATGGTATAAGGTAGAGACAATCAAATGGTGAATAAAGCAAATAATTTTTAGGCTGGGGATGGTGATGTAGTTCAGTGCTAGAGCATGAGGCTCTTGGTTCAAGTTCTAGCACACGTATGTGTATGTACACACAAATATACATGCACAAAAAAGAAAGAAATTAAAACAATTTTCATGGACATTGTATTCCTTATATATTTGTTTTAGAATATTATGTGAAGATGTTGTAAAGTAATTAAGAGGAAAAGTGAGTCATGTATGTCTAGTTTATGCAACATCTCTGCTGTCCTAAAGGGTATTCAAGGAAAAGGGGGTGGGCCATTTTGGGTTGGACACATTTTATTCCTGATTCAGAGTCCAAGAGATGATGGTGCTATGAAGGTCTTCTGTAGAATTTGCATACTCAGGTATTTACAGTGAAGTGTTAATAAAGGAATTACTCCCCTTCAATGTCATTCTGGATTGTCAACTTTGGATTATGAACCTGCTGATGTGGGGATTCATTAAAATGATAAACTTAGTGAAGTCACATCCTGATTGGACTTTACCCAAGAAACACATTCCAGCATAAGCCAAAGGTCCAAGTATAAAGTTAGCTGCTAATGGGCAAGAAATCAGGTGATCAGGTTTAGCTGGTGACAGTCTGTCCTTGGTGGCAAAGCTGAAAAAAAAGGAACCTGCCAGTGATATTGGTCAAATTATATTGTTATATTATGTATTGTGTGCATGTATGAATATATAACAACAGATCTCATCAGTATGTACAACTATAATGCACCAATTTTAAAAAGTGAGGAAAAATACAAAAGAAATGGAACCTGACAAGTACTTGGATTAAAGACAGGATGAGACTGGACCCTAGGTGTTTGAGTGGGCTGGCTTGGGATCCCGTAGAGAGCAGTGACAAAACAAATAGTGGAAGCCAGGTACTGGGTGCACCTTGAACTTTTATCAACATTAGCACAGAAAACAAATCAAAATGACTTTACTCGTGGGTTGTTAGGAGTATAAGTTTACATGTTTGAAAAGCAATTTAGCACATCCATCAAGAACATATTCTTGTTTTTTGGCCATCTAAGTCTACCTGTAAGAGTGTGCCCAGTAGATTATCATAGATGAAAGTGTATTCATTCAAATTATTTCAGAAAACACCAAAAGGCTAATTAGATGAGGGAACCCAGAAAACTGGGAACATCCTAACCTTGGGAATTGCACAGACCTAGGAGCAGGTGTGGGTTTGGGCTGCCCTGGAACAGCAGGGGATTCTCAGTGTGCTGCTTTTCCCCTTAGAACTGTTAGCCTCCTCTCTGCTCTATCTTTTCTCTACCATCTAACTCCTGCTTGTCCAGTTTTTACAACCCCAGTCAACTACTGGCAACATTACTTCTTAACTCTCAGTTTTTCCTTGTTTGAACTCTCCATAGGGGAATCTGATTGGCCAGATTACCTTTCCAAACTATTTAAGTAAGAGTTATTCCATCTGTCTGTGGATTGGTTGCTCTTGGATCAGGTGTCCCTCCCTTGGCCCAAATCAGCATGGCTAATATTAGGAGATAGCCAGCCCATAGCTGCTGACCAGTGGTGTGTCAGTTTCCCTTATAAAGGACAAAAACTGAGGACAAACACTGTGATGGACGTGCCTAGAAAAGGAATCTTTAAAAAAAGATGCAAAAATGGGGACCAAGAGGTTCATTAAAGTGCTGTTATAGCACCCACAATGTCTATCAATGGAGTAGCATGATATTTATGGGCTGTTTAGGTATGCAACAATGAGCAGCTTAATGAAATTACTGAAGACTATTGAAGAACACAGAAAATACCCACAAGATATTACAAAGGGCAAAAAGGCTATATAACTGCATATACAACATGATCAGAATTTTCTAAGAAAAATGCACATTTACTTTTTAATTTGTAAGGGATAGTTAAGGGGTTAGTGGTGTGATACCTGGTGGTATAATAGTTCTTTATTTGGTCATAACTTTCAAATCTTTAATTAGCAGATTTTTTTTTTTTTTTTTAATAATGAGAGGGAGTACTAAGTATTAAAGCCCGCGTTCCTTCATTTTAACCTGGCCTGGGACGGCCCCTTCCCGGCTCCCAGTCCAGGGGGCGCGCGCGGCCTCTCGGCCTCCTTCTCTCCTCGCCCTTCCTCTTCTCCAGTGGAAAAAGGTCCTTTTCTGCATTGTCGCAGGTTCCAACACATTGCTTTTCTAACCACAGACCCACACCCGCGGATTCGCAAGGCCAGCCCAGGGAACGCTGGCGCCGCCCGCCGGCCTTCCGCCTTCCGGTGGCTAGCGGACACGGTCTGGCCTGTCGCTGCAGCATGGCTCCGCTACGCTTCTCCGCCAATCTGTCCTGGCTGTTCCCGGAATTCCCCGACCTCCCTGCGCGACTGCGGGCTGCGGGCAGCTCGGGCTTCGAGGCCGCCGAAGTGGCCTGGCCGTACGCGGAGCCGCCCGAGGCTCTGGCGCGCGCCGCGCGGGCAGCGGGGCTGCAGCTGGTATTGATCAACACGCCCCCGGGTGAGTCCCGGGGCCGAAGGCGACCCGAGCGGCGCGCGGCGTGGGAAGCACGGGGTCCCTGAGCTAGAACCGAGGCCCGTTTTCTCCGCAGGAGACCAGGAGAAGAGGGAAATGGGGCTGGGGGCCGTCCCCGGGAGACAGGCGGCCTTCCGAGAAGGGCTGGAGCAGGCTGTGCTGTACGCCAAGGCTCTGGGCTGTCCTAGGTATCCTGCTCTATCCCCCTCCCAAGACTGTAGAGTCAGGGTCAGAGAAGAGGTCGCCAGTTCTGAGACGCCGGGATTTAGGGGCCTGGGCCTACTGGCCCTCCTTCAGCCCTCTAGTTGGTTTTTTGTAAATTGTGTTTGTGTATTTTTCTCTGTTTGCCATGCATTCATGCACATCCATGCCCCGATCCCATGCTGGGAGCTCAGTCTGACAGGGAGATAGCAACTTAAATATAGCCTGGGATCCAATGAAGGACAAGAAGGCTGTGGGAACAGGGGGGGGCACCTAATCCTGACTGGGTTTAGAGAAAGTTGCTTACAGGTAGCTATAGAAAGGAAGTCCATAGGCAGCATGGAATGCCCAAGAAGGGCAAAGGTCAAAATCATTTTAAAATACTGAGAATCAAACATGTTTACAGGCTGAGGGGAAGGCCAAGGGAAAGGAGAAGTTGAAAGTACAGGATTTAGGTGAAGACTTGAGGTTCCTGTGGCAGAATGATGGGTTGACCTTAAGATGGCATCTCGGAAAAGACTTGACCTTGGGCTGACACAGGAGTGCCTGAGGATGAGGGGATGCTTGAACCCCTCCACCAGGGTGGTATGGACCACAGACCTGGAGGGATGGGTGAGGGTCAGCATGATCAGAAGGCATCTGGGAGGAGGTGTACAGGGAACTAATAGCATGAAGCTTCTAGTCCCATTTTCCTTATAGGATCCACCTGATGGCTGGCAGAGTACCCCAGGGGGCTGACCGAGCAGCAGTCATGGGTGAGATGGAGACAGTTTTTCTGGAGAACCTAAGGTATGCAGCTGGAGTTTTGGCTCAGGTAAGTGGAAATATGCATTTACATGTGTGTAGGGAGAGGGGTGCACAGTGAGGAGAGATGAGGCACAAGGGTGAGCACCTGCCCAGGTCCGACTGACAGGTGTGCTGGCCAGTAGTTGATGGAGAACAAACTTGGGAAGGAGTCCTATTCAGAATCCAATATGGTGCTAGGAGAACCTCGTGGGACTGCTGGAGCCCATTAATACGCGTATCACCGACCCCCAGTACTTCCTGGATACACCCCAGCAGGGTAGGAATCCAGCCTTGTTCTTCCTCCCATTCCTTTTGATTCCTATGGTCTCCATGAGTCTAATGGCTCCCCTCCCTGGCTTCTTTCCCAGCGGCTGCCATCTTACAGAAGGTTGGAAGACCCAACCTCCAATTACAAATGGTGAGTGGGAGGAAGGGGGTGCTTCTGAGAGCCTGTTCTCCAAATATAAGAAAAATGGTGGGAGACACCTGAGAGGTCCAACTATATAGTATTCTCTTCTCCAGGATATATTCCACTGGCAGATCATGGATGGGAACCTGACGGGAAACATTCGGGAGTTCCTGCCTATCATTGGTGAGAGGGCTCCCTTCCTTTGCACCTTCTCCATCTGCAGGGCTGCTTCCTTTGCCTGTCCACCCCTGTCTCTGTCTCTTAGGCCTCAACAGGAACCTGGCCCCATGTCTTTCCACATCTTTCCCTAGGGCACGTACAGGTGGCACAGGTCCCTGGCCGAGGGGAGCCAGGGAGCCCTGGAGAGCTGCATTTCCCCTATCTGTTCCAGCTGCTGGAAGATGAAGGCTACCAAGGCTTTGTGGGCTGTGAGTATCGGCCTCAAGGTGAGGTTCCAGGTGTAGCCCTGGGGAAGAAGTCTCTAGAGGGACAGGTATTGGACAGGGGCTATTTTTCTCTTGGTAAGTTGAGATGCCACTGCCTCCCTTTCCCTACAGGAGACACAGTAGAGGGTCTGAGTTGGCTACGTTCATACTGGGATAAGCGGGGCCACCCACGGGTTGTCCAGTGAGGTCCTGCACACTACTCACATGCCTCTCTGGGGCAATGAGTACCCCGAGTCGTCGTCTTTGAATTAAAGACAACTTACTGAACATTTTCATATGTGTATGTTATGGGGTAGAGGACACACAGTGTCTAATGCTTCAGTCTCCCATTGAGAAGGGACATACAGCTCATGCTCAAATCTTCCAGTTGGTGCCAGAGTTGCTGTGGGAAAAGGAGAGATTTTGAGCCTTCCTCCTCACTTACAAGTGAGGAACCAGGGTCCAAGAGTAAAGGAGCTTGATGCTGGTCACATGTGCTTCAAAGGCAGAGTTCAGATAGGAACCAAGGTTTCATCTCAATAGCAATGTCCGGCAGTGATGTCCAAGTGTGAATGAAGACCAAAAGGCTAAGGGGGGCAGGTGGCTAACAGTGACCATAGTGGGAGGCAGGATTCTGGCAGAGCTTAAGGGGTGAGTGCTTATTACCTGCTGTGAAGAATTCCCAAGACTCTAACAGGTGGACAGGAAGGAGTTGTCCCCTTATAGAAGGTCTAAGGAGTCTGAGAGGGGATGGGTGCCTTAGGGAGTTGACCTTACCCCCTAGAGTCCTGGGCTGGTCAGCAGCTACAAGTGTTTGGGGAAGTAGTCCCTGCTGCCAGACTGCAGCAGTAAATCCCCAGAAGTATTCACAAAGCCTTTGGTGTCGCTCAGTGTGCAAGTTAGCCCTGGAGCCTGAGAGGGCTGATTAGTCATGCCTCAGGTGGGCAATCTTACAGATTCATGATTCAATGTACAGTGGCGTCCAGTGGTCCACTTCCTCAGAGAAGGCGGGTCCAGAGGGTGAAACAGGCTGTATTGATGACGGACTCTAAGTGGTGGTAGGTGGAGACCAGCTGGGCAGGGGGACTCTCGCTGTCCTGAGGCTGTACTGGGAAGGGCTCTCGGAAAACCACTGTCAGAGACTGTGGGGAACACAGTAAGGGTGAGAGAAGGCCACAGAAAAGGACAGGGAGAAGGGCTCAGGAAGAGTAGGCACCCCAACCTCAGTAGGCTCTGAGGTGATCATCAGGAGTACAGCCTCCCACTGGGCTGACACAAAGTCCCCGTTCTCACCGTCTTTCCCAAGTGGGAGTCCAGAAACACTAACACAAAACAGTCAGTGAACTTCTGATTCAGCACAACCTGTAGTGACAGATGATGTGAGACGGGGAGTGAGGTTTGTCTCACTGGGGGTGGGGTGCTGACCTCCTGCAGGGCATCCTGTGGAGATGGCAGGAAGAGGAAAGGCCTTCTACACCATGCCCAAGCCTAGCTGGACCTGTCTTTACGGAATCTCAGTCCACATGCTCAATGGCCTGCCAATCAGCCTGTCTCACCCTCCTCAAAATGATTCTAGAGGCCCCGCACAGAGCTTGGCACACTGAAGCCAACCAGCAAGGGAGAATTCACAATCCCTGGCATGATGTCTCCTCCATATTTCCTGTCCTGGGTCTCTTATCTCTGATCCCACCCTTGGAACTATCCCTTAATGTCCAGGTGCTCCCTAACACTTGGCTTTGGGATACAGCCCTGGGTGATTTCTCCTCCCTGCAAGGCTTCATACCACTTGTTCACATGGATGCTGCCTAGGTCTCTCTCCTGAGCGCAATCCCTGATCCACACACCTCTAGACAGTGAAGGTCCTTGGCTCAACTTGGCCCAGGCTGAGCTCATTACCCTTTTCCCAAACCCACTTCTGCTTCAGCATTCCCAACACTGCAGGAGCACCCTAAATGCCCATACCCACCTATACCACTGCAGCCTTGTCCTGATGGACCTTGGTTTCTGGATGACACTCAAGACATGGCTCCTCGCCACAAAGCACCATGTTGCGGGGCCCCTCACTAGGCTCTGATGCCTACTTTCTCACTTGCAGTCTTTTCTCGAATGTCTCGTCTCCTGAATCACAGCTCTCACTGGGCCCATCTGGTTAGTCTCTGTAATTTCCTAGGTACGTGCCCACCACAGTAGTGCTTTTCTCCCTGCCTGTCCTTTACAGCTGTGCTTTCAGACTTTATCATGTACACATCACCTGGGGATACTGCTAAGATGCAGATTTGAGTGTGTGTGTGAGGGTGCCATCTGTTTTTCAGCAAACTCCCATGTGATGCTGACACTGCTTGATCTGAGGATCACACTTTGAGTAACCAGGTGTTAAAGCCCAGATTCCCTCTGGGACTCCAGACTCCAAGACCAATCACTGATGAATTTCTGAGAGCTCCTTGGGTTGCCAGTTCTAGAGCTTGGTCCTCAGAATTTCAAGCCCAGGTGTGTGTTCTTGGTGAGCCATTGAGGGCAAAGCTCTTAGTTAATTCTCTGCAAATCACATGCTGGGGATAAATGCTCAAGGGTTTTACATCTATCTGTGTAGTCATATTCCATCTAGGTCTTACTCTAGGGAAGAGCTTGTGCAGTCTGGCTAAGCTCCTTGAGGGGGACATACGTCATCTTTGATGAGGATTTCTGTTATGATTCTCCTTTTGGAGGAGGGTCAAGGGAACTTACCAGGTACTGAGTTCCTAAATCTGGGCTCTGGAAATGGCGACAGCTCTGGGGGAAACGGCTCAGGAGAACCTTGATCAGGCTCTGGTACCAGGAGACCGTCATGGACAGGAAGCAGTCCTGGGAGAGGGTCCACAGCTCTGAATACACTGTTCCTGTATCTCCTAAGACTCCTTTACCCTCTTACCCTGGCTGTCTTTGGAATTTCTGGAGTCCAGTCTCTTACCAGCTGGGGGTCAATGTCTCCAATAGATTTGGCATGGACTGCCTCTAGGAGCTCTTCCAGCTCTGCCAGGGCCAGGCGCCCCCCAAGCCTTAGCCGGTCAGGTCCTGGTGGCTCCAGCAAGAAGAGGCGCTTCCAGAGGGTGTCCCGACGGCAGTGCCCACCAGCCAGCCGGACCAGCTGAGCCAGCCGTGCCCGGGCCATGCCCACCTCTGCAGCCAGTGGTGGGAACAAAGGAGCTGGCCCAGGGACTAGGACAAGCCCTGAGGTTTCCCCAGGGCTACCAGCTGAGCTCCCAGGAGCCTCTGGCTCAGGGGGCAGTCTGGGTGGCTTCCGGAACCGGCGCATGTCAGCAGTGAGTCTGGGGAAGAGTTCTCGTTGGCTGGTGAGCACCACGAAGAACTGCAGCCTGGTTTGGGGAGGGCAGGAGAGTGGGGGGGTCACAGCAAGACACACACAGGGCAGGAGCAGGAGGCAGCTGGGAAAGGGGCATGTTCAAAGTGAGGGATCTGCTGACCGCAGAACATGCCGCTCAGCTTCTCCTTGCTCCTCAAAGGGTGCAGCACAGTGACAGACGAGCAGAGACACATCAAAGTCATCCTGGTGGCGAAGTCCCTCAGAGTCTAGGTAGGAGCCAGAGCTGTGCAGTGGGGGTGGGGAAGACGTCAATGAGATGCTAATGAAACCAACCCCACCTTTATGCCCAAGAAAACATGGGTCTCCCTATTTGTGAGTGTGACCCCAACCTCAGCCACAACATAGTGTGTTTCCAGTCTTACCTGTGCCATGCTGACACTAGGGCATATTCATTATGTTCTGGGCCCCCTGGCCGGGCCATACGTAGTGGCTTCATGTGGTAAGAGCTTGCATGATCAGCCACATAGTTGTACAGCTGGTGGGCAGCAATGAGTGGTGTGGGAAGCTCCAGTGTCCCTAAGGGGAAGGTCACAAAGACAGCAGACACTAAGCCTGGGACAGGTACTCTGATCTGGTGGGGTGGGGGTGGCAGTTGCTAGGGCTAACTGGCGAGTGGCTCTGCCTTCCTGGGGAGCTCTGAGTTTCTATGGAACATTGAGATAGGATGAAAAGAGACTCAGAACAGAGGGCAGGGTACACACGACATTGGGCCTAACTTTGATATGACAGACCCAGAATAGAAACGGGGACATAGGATGAATGATATGGGCAATTAACAATAGGGGACCACTTGCCCTGGCAGATGGTTCTACCAGCCCTGGAGACACCTTGTGGCCTGATCGTTTTGGGGTTCATTGGCTTGCTCTTGGGCACCAACCTTGGTAAATATGATTGCGGCCAAAGTGGGGTCCATCAGGGTGGTGGGCCAAGAAGTGTCGCAGGAAGGTGGTGAGGTGGTAGCCATGCCGCAGCACCAGGTGGGCACCCAGCACATGCTGGTGCACAAGGCGCAGGTGGAAGTCATAGCTGAAGGAGTGCACGTGCATCAGGTCTCGCACCTTGTCACACTCCTCTGTGAATAGCATGGACAGCTGGGGAGGCAGCAGCAGGGAACAAGCTATTAGCATGTGGCAGGACAGGCTGCCCAATTCATATTTCCCTCCTTCTGGAGAAGAGGAAGCTTGACAGATTTCCTCTGTTACTGTGGGCCTCGCAGAAATCCCTCTGCCAGAACAGCTTCTAGGGGAAACCCAGTACTGCTGTGGCTGGATGCAGTACTGGACTACCCAGGGTTACACTGGTAGGTGGTTCAGTCACAGCACCAGAATGCAGTATGACCACTGACGTAGCCAGGCTATGGCACCAGATCAATCACTGGGCCAGACTGCTCACTACATTCTTTGAGGCAGGATTTCCCTATGTTGCCAGGCTGGTCTTGAACTCCTAGGCTCAAATGATCCTCTTGCCCCAGTCCCCTGAGTAGCTGGGACTACACCTGATTTATTTTCATTTTTTGTTGTTATTGTTGGACCTTTATTTTTTTTTTGTATGTGGTGCTGAAGACTGAACACATGCTAAACAAGCACTTTAGCACTGAGCCACAATCCCAGCCCTTATTCTCAGTTTTTAATACCATATTATCACTCTAGAACCATTCTGAGAGGCTGGGTCTTTTTACTCAGTATCCTAGACCCCACCAGAGTCTAGCCTCCTCTACATTTTGTACCTGTGTGCCCTTCACTGAGAAGGCTGTTCTCCCTGAACCCAACCTGGCTAACTCCTACTTGCTCTTCAAGCTTTCTCTGGAACACTCCCCCAGGTGGGATAGGTATCCTGATCTGTTGGGGTGTGGGTGGCAATTGTTAAGGCTAGGCCTGCCTGCCTGCCTGTGAATGAACCACTGATGGAAGAAGGAAGGCAGACTGAG